GTAGGTGTTCAGAATGGTTTGATCCCTATTCAGCTGAATTCCTGAGACCAGACGAAATCCAGGTCTCCTACTCCTCCACCATCTTGCTCCGCCTCCGGGTGCTGATTTAAAGGCTACATCATTTTGCATCCCAAGGGGGCCTTTCGGATCAGGACAAGGAAGCTGAGTAGATGCCCTTTTAATGCTTCATTGGCTTAGACTGTCAACCCAGTCTCTTGAGGAGAGAAAGAGAGAGAGGGGGAGAGAGGGAGGGAAAGAGAGAGAGGGAGGGAGAGAGAGAAGGAGGGAGGGGGAGAGGCAGAAGGAGGGAGAGAGAGAGAGAGAGAGAGAGTGTGTGCACAGCGTGCAAACACCTTTCCTTGCAGAGTGCAGTTGAGAGCTTTGCCTCTGTCCTAGAACAAACATCCACATCGTCCAACTTCACCAAAGAAGAGACCTCCGCCCTGGCCACTGTTGTCCTGGAGAGTGTGAAAAGCACCACCCTGGCAGCGTTCCTGAAACCGTCAGCAAATGTCAGTCAGACTGTCCAGACTGAACGTTTAGGTAACATGGCAAGGTTACACCCGGGCGCTGACTTTGAGGGGCGGGGCTTGAGAGATGCGATTCTCCGTGGCTTTCCCATATCCCATTTTCCCAAGTGTTTCAAATCTCTGAACTCACCGCAGAGCCAGTCCAAGGATATGAACAACATCTCCCATTTACTGAGTGGCTGACATTGAATTATGAGTGTTGCCAGGTAGGGTTTGGAGTGTGTTATCTATTCAACAACTATCTGAATCCCACAGTAAACAAACATCTGGTATACCAGACATGGATAGTGCTATTGAGAAAAATACAGCAGGGCTAAGTCGGCTAGAGAGGGTCAGGCTTGGGGGGGAGCATTGCTAGCTTACCTGGGAAGGGAGCCGTGTACCTATTTGGAGAAAGGGCAGGCACAGGAATATTTAGTGAGTTCAAGGAACAATGAAGAGGCCAGCATGGCCGAAGTGGAGTAGAGATTCATAGAGCTTGCAGGAGAAGGGGTCAGAAAAGAAGGGGAGAGGTGGATTTTGTAGACGAATGTAGGGATTTCTATCTGAAGTAAGACTGGGGATGGGGTACGGAATTGGAGAGTTTGAGAACAGGCGTGACATTATCTGGCTTATATTTTACAAAGGATATCTCTGGCTCCATTACCTATTTTGTTTTCATGAAGATCCCTGTAATTATTGCCGTGGCACAGGTGAGGGACTTGCAGCTCAGAGGGTTTAAGTCTTTGTTCAAGTTGGCACAGCTGGAGAGTGCCAGAGCTGACTGCAACACCTGAGCCCTGGTCCACTCTGCTGGGTTCGCTCCAGCCCCTTCCTATTTCCTTTGGCTTCGGAAAACTTGTCTAAATGTAGAGTAGCCAGAGGGTCATGACTGTTGCTTTCCACCTCTGTTGACTTCAATCCCGTCTTTCCCTGATTTGCCCCCTATGGGGCGAGAGCTCACTCCAACAGCTCCCGCTGGGTTTCTTAGTTGTCTGGTGCTACCATCCTCCTGTCACTCATCAGGGGCTCAAGATCTTCCCCATGATAAACTGGCCTTTTTATTCTTTGCTTGCAACTAGGTGTGTATAACTTTTTTGGACAGAAACCAAATTCAGGACTCACTTTCTGAGTGACCTCAGGCAAAGTCTCCCTATCTCCTTTTAAAGATTTTTATTTATTTATTTGTCAGAGAGAGAGCACAAGCAGGGGGAGCAGCAGGCAGAGGGAGAAGCATGCTCCCCGCTGTTCAAGAAGCCCCATGTGGGACTGGATCCCAGGACCCTGGGATCATGACCTGAGCTGAAGGCAGATGCTTTGCCGACTGAGCCACCCAGGCGTCTCCCTGTCTCCTTTTAGAAATTGAAAGCAAAATTATCAAGGAAGAATGCACTGAAGAAAATGTGACCTTTCACCTGAGAGCCAAAGGGGACAAGATGGAGATTGGGTGCTCCACCATTGAAGAATCTGAATCCACAGGTACAGACTTGCTCCTGAGAATCAAGGAGGGTGGTTATGGTGTATTCAATCAGCACACATTTATCAGTCAACTCATAGGTGCCAAGACTTGTGAGGGGATCAGTGAGGTGAGGTCCATGCCCTCAGGGAGTTTTCCATCCCCTGGGGAAGTCAGATATTAAATAAATAAATACCCTCACAATAATGGAGCATCAAGACCTTTAGTGTCCAGTAAAGTAGACACTCAATAACCTTTTGTTATTGAGCACTTGACATGTGGCCAGGCGGTGAGTGTAAAAATATACACTGGATTCCAAAGGCTTGGTATAAAAAACGAAGGATGGAAAAATCTCATTCATATTTTTATATTGATTGTATGTTGAAATGATAATATTTTGCATGTATTGAGTTAATATATCATTAAAATTAATTTTTACCTGCTTTTGACTTTTCTAAAAATGTGGCTACTAGAAAATTTAAAATTACCTAGGTGGTTCATTTTGTATTGCTAAGTGGACAGTGCTGGTCTGTATCAGGGATTGACAAACTTGTCTTGTAGAGGGTGGGTTTGTAAATGTTTTAGGCATTGAGGGCAATACAGTCCCTCACAGTGCAAAGGTGTTCACACACGAATGTGTGTGGCCGTGTTGCAGTAACACTTTTATTTATACAAAAGAGGCAATGACCAGATCGGCCTGTGGGCCATTGTTTGGCCACTCCTCAATCTATCTTTGGTCTGGAGGGCTCAAGGAGCAGGCCTGGGACATCCCTGAAGACCACCAACATTGAAAGGGGAAGCCTACCAAAGAGATGGAGCAAGAATAACCATAAATGTGGGAGGCGAACTTATTTCCCACTGCTCAGTTTGATTGTCTCTTAAAAATACAAATTAAAATTTATTTTTAAATATAGCCAACATTTCTCCAGGTGGAAGCAACTCAGGGTTTTTTTAATGGTTCTAGTGAGGGTCACCAATCTAGAAGTCCACTGTTTGCGTTGGTGTTGCAATCCTCAGAGTGGGCCAGTGGAGGTACAGAGATGCATGGGATATTAAAGTGTGTATGTGTATGTACATGTTGGGTCATCTGTAATCACTACTAAGCAAATGATTCCTTCTTCTTCTTCTTCTTCTTCTTTTTTTTTTTTTTTGCCTTTGGGGGAAATCACAGGCACCACTGGGGTGGCTTTTGTCTCCTTTTCGGGGATGGAGTCTCTTTTAGATGAGAGCTTCTTCCAGGACCCTGAGACCCCTTTGGCCAACTCCCAGAGGAAGTTGAAGGTGAAGATGAATTCTCGCGTGGTACAGGGTATCATGACTGGGGAGAAGAAAGATGGCTTCTCTGACCCAGTCATTTACATGCTGGAGCACATTGAGGTTTGTGAAGACGTCCCTGCTGAGCCCCCATCTACATACCAAGAACGCCCTATCCCCCAGTGTGTTTGACTTTCATTTTTGATAGGGACCCACAAAGGCAGCAAGCTCTCACAGTTTCTTTCTTTTTTTTTTTTAAGATTTTATTTATTTATTTGACACACAGAGAGAGATAGTGAGAGAGAGAGAGAGGGAGAGAGCACAAACAGGGGGAGCAGCAGGCAGAGGGAGAAGCAGGCTTCCTGCATGAGCAGGGAGCCCGATGTGGGGCTCGATCCCAGGACCCTGGGATCATGACCTGAGCTGAAGGCAGCGGTTTAACCAACTGAGCCACCCAGGCGCCCTGCTCTTAGTTTCTTGCAACTCAAGCTGATCCCCAAAATCCACCTTTAGAGAGGAGGGCTCTCCTCTTTCTATGTGTATTCTTCCATCCATCGCTGGGCAAGATTGGGCCCAGATTAAGTGATGTTGATGCAGGAACATTTACAGGGACATTATCTACATTGGCTATGACCAGTTCAGTGCTAGAGGCAGATCTGGTATCTGAGAACTTTCCCTCCATCCTTGCACACTGAAATACCACCTTTCCCTCCCAAACATACCTGCATCTTCCTGCCCCAAATGACTCTTGAAGTTGGTCGTACTGAGTCCATATGAAGGAGAGTCTCGGGTGACAACAGCCTTTCCATTTTCAGCCAAAGCAGGAATTTGAGAGGCCTATCTGCGTTTCCTGGGACACCACTGTGGAGGGTGGTAGGTGGATGCCCTCTGGCTGTGTGGTCCTTGAAGCTTCTGAGACGCATACTGTCTGCAGCTGTAATCAAATGGTGAACCTGGCCATCATCATGGCTTCTGGGGAGCTCACGGTCAGTACTGATTCTCTGTGTTCTGGTTCCGCAAATCCAAGGGGAAAATATTGAATAAACATCCATTATGTGTCTCTCATGGCCTTGGGTATTGTGGGAGGGAGTTGGGGTGGGGACAGATGGGGTGTGCGATACCTCTGCCCTTGGAGAATTCAGGGTCTGGCTCAGAAGCCATGACATTCATGTATAAAATGAGAATTGACCCTAAGCAGATGCTGGGACAATTATAATCACAGATCCCATTTACAGAGCACCTACTGTGTTGGACCCTTTATTTTAAGTTATGTATTTTCAGGCCCTTTTATAGGATGGGGGCTGAGGCTCCATAGCCCACCTACTTAGGAAACTCAAGATGAGGCTCAAGCCCAGGACAGTCTAGCTCCAGAGGACTCTTTCCACAAAACCATGTACATGGTGCAAGAAGTTGTGCTATGGGAATTCAGAAGTGTGTTGGTGAGAGCTAGCAATCAATCAGGGAGGGGATGGATGTGAAGTGAGCCTTGGTGAGTGGGTAAAGACCTACAGAGCATGTAATACGTTTCCTGCACAGTTGTGAGCACTTTAAGTATTTTCATTGAATCCTCCTACAACAACCATACAGGGTAGTTACTGTTAGGATCCTCTTTAAACAGATGAGGAAACAGAGGCTCAGAGCAGTTAAGTGTCTTGCCCAAGCTCATACAACTAGGAACTGGCAGATCTCTAGTCCATTCTCTTAGCCACCACATCACAAAATCATAGGGAGTTGCTCGTGAGATGATACCTTGTCACAACTTCAATACACAGAAGGAACTCAAAAATTTAAAATTAATTGTGAATAAAAATAATTGTGAATAGGGGAAGGACTCGGCTTGCCATTTCCACTCCCAGAAGTTGGGGCATCTCTGAACGCCTGTGTAGCAGTCCTGGTTCAGGGCAGGAAATGGTAACCACTCTAGATATTTCAAGCAGGGAATGGGATGCTCACGAAATCATGGGAAGGGATGGAGGAGTTGAAGTCAGGGGCTGCCACTTGGGGTTTGGTTTCGAGATCACCCCTCTGCAGCTGTAATCCAGAGGTCAGAAATTGCTGCTGTCAGATCACCCCACATCCATGCAATCAAAGGGACAGCTGGAATGTGGAGCCCAGCCATAGCTTGCTCCTGTCTGCAGAAAGAAAACTGGTATCTGCCTCCATTCTGCCTTCCAAAACTTCTGTGCTTACATCTCATTGGAGAACCTAAACGACATCCAGGACCCTAGCCCCAGGAGATTCTGGGAAATGTAGTTTATAGACATCCTGCTCTAGTACAACATGAATTGGGGCACAGAACAGAAGTGGGAATGGGTGCTGATGGATTCCAAAGGATGATGCTGGACAATATCTAGTTCACTCTGAGTGTCAAAGGGAGAAAAGGTCCCTGAGTCCTTTCTGCCCCAGTCAGGAGTCTGGATAATTCTTTTTTCTGCCTGGAGGGATGTCACTCCCTCTCTGAGTGGTGTATCTCCTTCCTGACAGATGGAGTTATCCCTGTACATCATTAGCCATGTGGGCATGATCATCTCCCTGGTGTGTCTCATCTTGGCCATCGCCACCTTCCTGCTGTGTCGTGCCATTCGCAACCAAAACACGTACCTCCACCTGCACCTCTGCATCTGCCTCTTCTTGGCCAAGACTCTCTTCATCTTCGGTGCAGACAAGACTGACAACCAGGTCTCACATCCCTTAGACTGTGTCCTTACTCAGCCCCACCATCTCCACGTCTGCCTCTGCTCATCCTACCCAACGTCTATGCTAGTTCCCACTTCAGGGCCTTTGCATGTGCTATGCCCTCTTGATAATACTTGTTTCCAGTTCTTCACCTGGTTGACTCCTTCTTGTGATAGGTCTCAGCTTAAAATCATTTCCCTGATCATGTTGTATATTGTGGTGGTCCCTCCTATTACTGTTTAAACCACTGGTTCTTATTTTGGAGGATTCTGCCCCCTAGAGGACACTCGGTGATATCTAGAGACAGTATTGGTGGGGTTGCTGCTGGCATCTGGTGGAGACTAAGGATGCTGCCAAACACCGTACAATACACAGGACAGATCCAATGACAGAAAATAATCTGGCAATAGTGTTACAAATGTCAATAATGTTACAGCTGTGAAACTCTATCCCTTATCAGTCTTTGTTGCTTTCTTTCCCAGCATTTATTTGAAACCATATTATTTGTTGTTTTACTTGTTGTGTATCTGCCCCCCCCACTAGACTATGAGCCCCACGAGAGCAAGAACTTTGGCCAATTTACCCCCATAACTATACCAGAAACATAGTAGGCTCCCAGGATTTTTCCAGAAGGAGCACTAGTGACATTCTGTCTGGGGTGATCATTCTTTGGCAGAACCCCCCCTCCCCCCGTGGAATGTTTAACTTCCCAGAACTCAGTGCTAGTAGCACATGTCACTCCCACCATTTGACTAGGAGTGAACAAACTTTTTCTGTAAAGAAGCAGATATAAATATTTTCGGCTTTGCAGATCCTAGGGCTCTGTCACAACCACTCAGCTTTGCTGTTTTAGCATGAAAATAGCCATTGAAAACAGAGAAATGGATGTGGCCGTGTGCCAATGAAACATTATTTACAAAACAGACAGCCAGCCCAATGACTACAGTTTGCTGACCTCCACACTCAATATCTTCAAACATCCTCTGAGGTAGGGTGATCAACTATCCATTCTTTTCAAAACTCCCCCAGTTTTAACACTGAAAGTCACATGTCCTAGGAAAAACCAGTCCCAGGCAAACCAGGATAGTGGGTCCCCCTACCAAAGGGATGATAGCACCTGCAGGGAAGAATATCTCTATAAAGGTTTGTGGAATGAATGAATGGGCTGTGGTTGAGGAACTCCAATCAAAGTTACCCCCACTGTTGTCTGAACCTGCTTCTTGGGTGGGGGTGGGGGGTAGAAGGATCCTGAGTGTGCGTGTTTCTCTTCTACAGATGGGCTGCGCCATCATTGCAGGCTTCCTGCACTACCTTTTCCTCGCCTGCTTCTTCTGGATGCTGGTAGAGGCTGTGATGCTCTTCCTTATGGTCAGGAACCTGAAAGTGGTGAATTACTTCAGCTCTCGCAACATCAAGATGTGGTACCTCTGTGCCTTTGGCTACGGGCTCCCAGTGCTGGTGGTGGCTGTCTCTGCCAGTGTGCAGCCACAAGGTTTTGGGATGCATAATCGGTAAGTGATATCCTTCTCTCTCCCTGAAGAGCCTGCTGCCAGGGTTTATGATGATATTTACATGAACAACAAGAAGAGCAATAACAGTAGCTATAATTGTGTCTACCATTTATTGAGCTTTTTATGTTTTGTCAGTCTCAGGGCTGCCACGTACAGTAGCACAGGTTGTGCACTGCACATATCCAGGAACCACTGTTTGCACTACAGTACAGATGAATGGTGGTGGTGTAAACAATGAACTTGGTTGTAAATTTGAAAATCATGGATCCTGGAGCCAGCCTGCTTGGGTTTGAATCCTTGCTCTACCACCTTCTAACTGTGCTACCTTGGGCAAGTTACTTATGCTTCCATTTCCTCCTCCATACAATAGGGGCTGACAGCAATGCCTACGTCATAGTGTTGTGAGGGTTAAAGGAGTTATTATCTGCAAAACATTTAGAACAGTGTCAGGCACAGAGTAAAGCATTATACATGCCATCATCATCATCATCACCACTGTCTGTTTTAAAGCAAGTTTTGTTTATCACATGGTTCATGTGAGAGGATTTTGGGTAGTGTGTTGGTGAGTATAATTTAAAAATATTTTTGTATATATCTTATAGGACATTAGGAAAAAATTGCCAGCATATCAACCAAACTCATGATATCATAGACATGATTCCATTGTATAAGTAAAAAAAAGTGAGTCAACTTTGAAAAACAGGTAAATGACAGGCTAAGCAGTATGTGGCTAGGGCAGAGACTATAACTCACTGCATCATGTCATGTAATTCTATGATCCTTGTGATAATGGTGCTGTTCTAATTTACAGATGAGGAAAGCCAGGCTTTCTTGCTATTACAGTGAGAAAGGGGCTGTGTGAGGACATGAATCTGGGTCTTTCCAATCCCAGGGCCTGTGTTCATCACCCTGTGTTGTAGGCACTGCTGAGCTGTGGTTAGGGAACTAAATATCCAGGTTTATGTCACTAAATATCCTCCCTGCCTACTACTGATGGTTTATATTTCAGGTGAGGTCATGAGATACGAGGTGAGGGAAAGGAATCCGTAGGAAGTGAGCACTCATCAAACCTAAGTCCGGCAGAGCTTTACAAACATGTATTATCTCTGGTACTTCTCAACAGAAATCCTCTGTGCGAGGACTAAGAGTTTCCATTGTGTACAGTGTGAGTAGTGTCCCCTGGATTTGGGCAGTGTACAACATGTGCTGCTGCACATGGTGGTACATAAAGTAACAGCTTAATGAATGGTAGCTTCAGAGGAAACTGAGGCTCAGCACAGTTGCAGAACTTGTCCTGGGCCACATAGCGAGGAAGTGTCCAAAATGAATTCAGATCTGACTATCTTGTCAGGAGATGGTGGTGACAATGCAAGGTCACCATGATGAAGTGTCCAATGTTGGTGTGGGTAATATAAGCACTGACACGGACCAGAGAAGGATGATAGCATATGGGAGTGGGAAAGTTCATGGAAGGCTTCCTGGAGGAGGCAGAATTTGAATGAGTCTTGAAAGCTCTACTGAAATGCACATAGGTAAATAGAAAAGGGGGTGGCAACATAGGTGAGGGCAATAGCTTCCCAAAGGAGGGCTCAAGGTCTGTTTGGAGAACAGATGGATTGGGCTGAAAGAAGGGGAAACTGGGGGAGGGGCATGGAATTTAGAGAGTGCCTTCCAGGTGGTGAGAACCACAGCAAGTTTGGAAGAGAGGAATAGTATGACAAGGATTTGAGATGACCTTCGGAAGAAGCACTAGGTGTGGGGAAGAGAAGGAGTAAATACAGGGTGCAGGTGTGCAGATGTGGCTGCAGGTAACAGGCTCCATCCCAGTGGGTACCTCTGGGAAACTGTAGGGCATGTACCTCTGATATCCCACCCAAGGGGCATATTTGTCCACCATCTCCCTCCCAGCAGCCTTTGGTTGAGGGCTGCTCCTGGTGAGCTAATCCTCAGAGCTTTCAGTCTGATGCCTCCAGCCAGAGATGCAGAAGCTGATAAGGGAATTGGCCAGTATTTACTGAAGTGGTTGTTCCTGAAAGAACAGAGACAGCATCTTCTGTGCATTTTACATCTTTTCATTACTACTACTTGGAGACTCCTGTTCCAGGGAGAGAATGCCTGGTTGGCCAAACTTTATTATTTTCCTTCTCTTGTGGCGGGAGGCACACTTTTGCTAAAGGAATATTGGGGTGCTGTTACTGAACATGGTGGAATGGTTGTCATATGGTGAAAACAACAAATTCCTAGAGACATGATGGAAAGAGGCAATGAATTCTCTCTTCCTTCTCTTCCTCCCTCCCTCCCTTCATTTCTTTTAAGAAATAATTATGGAATGCCTCATCCATGCCAGACTTTGCACTGAGTGCTGGGTATTCAGAGATGAACAAAAGTTCAAGGTCTAAATTCTCATATAGCTCATACTCTTGTAGGGAGTGAAGGACAATTTGCAAGGAAACAAACACCACCATAATTTATGATACCAATAGATGCTATAAAAAAGAAAAGCAACAAGCTCTACTAGAGATGGACCAGGGGTAGGGGTGGTCAGAAGTGGTTTTTCAGAGGAGGTGTCATTTGAGCTGAGATTTGAAGGAGCAGGTGTGCCAGTGAAGAGGTCTGAATGAGGGGAGGGGGTTACAAAGATTATGAATTGAGGACGAGCTCTATGCAGGGCATCAAGTGAATGCTTCAGGAATATTTACCCAGGAGGAATGTCTGAAAGAAGACTTGCTGTGGCCCAAAGAAAACTGAGCTGTAACGTGCCCCATCATGAGAATTTTCATCTCAGGATCAGCTCCCTACATTCTCCTCTACTAGTGCATTTGTTGGAGTGTGAGTAACTGTAGGGTCAAGACTGAGACAAGCTCTGAATCCTGTTTCTCTCCATAGCTGCTGGCTGAATACAGAGACAGGGTTCATCTGGAGTTTCCTGGGGCCAGTCTGTGCCATCATCATGGTAAGCAAATTGCTTGGCACAGTGTGTCCTGGAGCAGGAACAAGGAGACCCTGGGGATCAGGAAGTACCAGTGGAAGTTGTGTAGCCGAGGTCACTTATTCCTCTCAAACATTCTCCCTTCTGATCCCTGGTTCTTGAGATATCCAAGTTAGAGTGTAATTTCTTTGACTTGTGATTTTTTTTTCTCTGCCAACATGCAAATCCTCTGGAAGGGACCACAATCTTATCTGTCCTTTGTGTTTCAGTAAGAATGGGTCTATTAATGTCTTCTGAGGATAGACATTGAATGGAAAAAAAGAAGGGAGAAAGAAATGAAAAGTATTTAGTGGTCAGGGAGAAGAAGAAAACAGTGGAATGGAAGCAGAGGGAAGCCTAGAGTTGTTTTTGTTTTTGTTTTTAGCTTCATTGAGGTGTAACTGACAAATTAAAAATGTATGTATTTAAGGTGTACAACTTGATGTTTTGACTTATGCATACGTCATGAAATAATCACCACAATCAACCCAATGAATATATCCATCACCTCGCATAGTTACTGTTTTTCTTTCTTTTCTTTTCCTTTTTTTTTTTTTTGTGGCGAGATCACTTAAGATCTACCCTTTTAGCAAATTTCAATTATACAATACAGTATTGTTAACTATAGTCACCACGCCGTACATGACATCTCCAGAACTTATTCACCTTGCGTAACTGAAACTTTGTGATCTTGGACTAACATCTCCCCCCATTTGCTCCCCCAACCCCAACACCCACTGTTCTACTCTCTGGGAACCTGGGGGTGTTGTGCGCCATCTCCTTGCCTCCTTACCTCCAACACAGATTCAACAGTCCTGCAAGATGATGTTTCTTTTGACTGTCACTTGTGGCTTTTTTTCCTTGTGTCACTTGTAATTGTTAATTGTGAGCTCCTATCTGACTGATATAAATCTTGGGAATTCTTGAGATTGTATTCCTCCAGAGGGGTTTTGCTCTGATTTCTGTAAGATTTGGGAGGGGGGCACGTATTAGTTTCCTAGGGCTGCCAGACAAAGTATCACAAACAGGGTGGCTTAGAGCAACAGAATTTTATTGTCTCACAGCTCTGGAGGCTAGAAGTATAAAATCGAGGGGTCAGTAGGGCCATGTCCCCTCTGAAGGCTCAAGGGAAGGATCCATTCCAGTTTTCTATCCAAGAAGACTGGTAACCTCAGGAGTTTCTTGGCTTGTAGATGTTTGGCTTCTCTCTGTGCATGACTGTCTCTGTGTCCATATTTCCCTATTTTATAAGGTCATGTGGGATTAGGGCCCAACCTATGACCTCGTTTTAATTTGATCACCTCGTTTAATTAGATCACCAGATCTAACCCCAAATAAGATCACATTCCTAGGTCCTGGGGATTAGGTCTTCAACAATTCAACCCAAACAGGGCACCAATCTTAATTCTAACTTTCCACATGCATCCAGTGAAAATAAGTGGTGATCACCCAGATGAGAAACAGCAAAGGATATTTATTGCTATAGTAAGGGAGTCAGCCACCATCATTTGCACTTTGCAGAGACTCAAAAGCAGGCAGAGTAGGATAAAAAAGGGAAGGCTTCAGGTGTGCCCTGATCAGAGGCTGTAGGCATCAGGAGCCTATAGGCAAGCTAACTCAAAGCAGGGCATCCTATGTGAATGCTTAGGGGAGCATATTGGCTTTTTCCCTGTGGTCCTAAGTGGGAAGTGAGGGCAGAAATTAGGGACGCTGTCAGTCACCAATCAAGAGGTGGTTGTTTAGGGTCGACTGCTTCCTGGAGTGGTTACTGCAGACTATGGGTTTTTACTGGGGGTCTGGCCATTGTCCATTTGCATATCCAATCTCTCAGTCTTTTCTGCTTGACTTTGTAGGTTAATTCCATCCTCCTGACTTGGACGTTGTGTGTCCTGAGGCAGAAGCTTTCCAGTGTCAACGCTGAAGTCTCAACGCTCAAAGACACCAGGTGTGGACCCTCCTTCCTTTTCTCTCCTTTTCGAGTCTCCTTCATTCTTCCCACAAACATTCACTGAGTACTTTTTGTATGCCTGGTCCTGTGCCCAGGACAGAACAGCACAGTATCTAGATCTGGGGTCTCAAACACCAGGTCTGCCACTTATAAGCTGTGTGACCTTAGGCAAGTTACATAACCTCTCTGAAACTGTTTCCTCATCTGTATACTGGGGATATTAACATTGCCCACTTTATTTGGCTTATGAAGCAGTAACACAGTTACTAGGGAGAGTGTTTCCTATATTGAAACTATTAATACATTTTCTAACTCATCTACTGTACATAATATGAGCGTATTTACAAAAACAGAATCATGCCATCTACTTTATTTTTATAACCATTTTTTCTCTTAATAATGTCATGAATATTTTTCAAGTTAACTAGACATTCTTTAACAATATCTTCTTTTTTTATAAAACATTTCAGTGTAAGAATGTAGCACAACTTACTTAAATCACGCCTTATTCATGGACGTTCAAGTTGTTTCTGATTTCTTGGGGTGGGGAGAGCTATTATAAGCAATGCAGTCTTGAATACCCTTGTAGATAGATCTTTTTCCACATCTGTGGTTATTGAATCATAACAGTAGGCATGAAACTGCCTGAGTCAAATGGCAGGTTGGATTGTCCCACTTTTAGTATATATTGAAAATTATTTTCCAGAAAATTTGTTTCCATTTGCAAGAATGCTTGTTTACCTACAGCTTTGCTGACACTGGGATTTATCATTTTTGTTGTGTCATTTTGATGATTTAATAGGTGAAAGATACTATCTTATTATTTTAGTTTTGTATATATTATTTTATCTTACAGATGTGGGACATTCTCATACTTTTATAGGCCATTTGTGTTTCTTAACTTCATCACTCAACTACTCTTTTTTAAAAAAGATTTTGTTATTTATTTGAGAGAGATAGAAAGCACAAGTGGGGGGGAGGGGCAAAGGGAGAGGAAGAAGCAGACTCCCTGCTGAGCAGGGAGCCTGATGAGAGAGAGAGGCTTGATCTCAGCACCCTGAGATCATAACCTGAGCCAAAAGCAGCTACTTAACTGATTGAGCCACTCAGGCACCCCTCAACTAATCTTCATCTTAAGAACCTACCAAAGTCAGACATTGTCTAGGTTTTATTGTCAGGAACCTTATGATGTCCTTTGCTTATTTTCCTGTCAGTATCCAATCCCTCTTCCATCTTAAATAATTTTTTCTAAAAATTATTTTTAAAAAGTTGATGCAAAAAGTGTAAAACAAAGTTAATACATGCAATGATAAGAAAAATTAAGCAGTGAAAAAGGGAACACATGGAAAGTAATTCCTTGTCTCTTCCCTGACTCCCAGGTTCCCAGATCTCTCCCACCTTAAGCAACCATTATCACTTGAATTGAGCTTTCTTCCAGAATATTCTATATCTACACATCAACCTTCTATTACATAAATGATAGGATACTATACATATTCTGAACTTTGGGTTTTTTCCACATAATATATAGCTGATTTCATATCAATACTTATGGCTAAAAACAACTAACAAAAATGTTTTTGTACTAGACACTGTTGTAAGCATCCTTAGAGTTTTGTTATCTCCTTTGATCTGTAGAACAAGTAATATCACCCTGTAGGCATTCTATTATTGTCCCTATATCAATTTGAGGAAACTGAGGCACAGTTTCCACAGGTACCCAGAGCCTGTACCCTCACCCCCTATAGTATATGGTCTCTCTCATCTCATTTTAAAAAATGGTTTTATGGGACACCTGACTGGCTCAGTCGGTGAAGCATGCAACTCTTGATCTCAGGGTTGTGAATTCAAGCCCCATGTTGGGTATAGAGATTACTTAAAAATAAAATCTTTAAAAATGGTTTTATTATTTGCTTTTATTTATTTTATTATTTTTTTTGAAAGCAAGAGCACTGAAATTCAGTTTTTCACAGTTATCTCTACTTTGGCGTTCCATTAAGTCTGTGAATTGGCTCAGCTTTTAGTCTCTATAGATTTGCCTATTCTGGACATTTCCTATAAATTGAATCATATACTCTGTATCCTTTTGCAACTGGCATCTCTCACTGACATAATGTCTTCAGGGTTCATCCACATTGTAGCAGATATCAGTGCTTTATTCCTTCTTATGGCTAAATAATAATCCAGGGTATGAATGGACCATATTTTGTTTATCTGTCCATCAATAGATGGACCCTGGGGTTGTTTTAGTTGCAGGGAGGATGGGGAATGAATGCTTAATAGGTGTGGGGTTTCTTTTTGGGGTGATAAAAATGTCTTAGAACTGGCTGGTGATGATGTTTGTACAGTATCGTGAATGTGCCAAATGCCACTGAATTGCACACTTTAAATAGTTAAAATGGTGAGTTTTATATTATGTGAGTTTTTCTTCAATTAAAAAAAGTGTCCTTATATTTCATACTATGACATCACCATTCATTTAATGTGTCCCCGGTTCTTGACCTGTAGGTCCTTTGAGCATTTTCATCACTACCAACACTATTACGTTAAATATATGTGTCCACACATCCTTGTGCCATGTTATCTGTAGGCCAACTGCCTTTTAAATGCCAGCGGGACTCGATGTCCCTGCCTCGGGGCTTGGAGACTCCACTGCACGATTATTCCCACCAAGGTGGCAGGTGAGTGGTGGGAGCACAGTCCATGAGAACAACAGCCACTGCCCAGAATTTTACCCTCTCCAAAACTTCTCCCCTAGGTTACTGACATTCAAAGCCTTTGCCCAGCTCTTCATCTTGGGGTGCTCCTGGGTGTTGGGCATTTTCCAGATTGGACCCATGGCTAGTATCATGGCCTACCTGTTCACTATCATCAACAGCCTGCAGGGGGCCTTCATCTTCGTCATTCACTGTCTGCTCAACCGCCAGGTACATAGCAGTTGCCCTTCCAGGCCCCATCCTTCCGGGGAACATGCCTGTGTCGGCCCACATCCCTGCATTTAGGAATAATTCATCCTCTTGTGATGTGTCTCTTCCTCCAGGTACGGGAAGAATACAGGGGATGGATTACCAGGAAGATCAAACCCAGTTCTGAGTCCCAGACTTCAGGGATGGTACTGTCCTCTGTCCCCTCCACTTCTAAAACGGTGAGAGACTGTTTTATGTGGTTTCTTCTGTTCAAATGGAACCCCTGCTTCTTAGCAACACCAGATGCCACTGTGCACTGAGTATCTACTGTGAGCTAAGTGTGTCCATGTATATTAGCACATGTGATAAAGTGTGGTATTCAAGAGTTGGGGTTCAGGAGCCAGGCTTCCTGGGCTTAAATCCCAGCTTTGCCCCTTAGTAGCTGTGTGAACTAAACAAGATAAAATCATGACTCATACAGATATAATATGAGCATACATTAAGGATTTTATTCTACTCATCAATCAGTGAGGGAGTGAGGCGGATATTAAACTGGCTCAAGAGAGAATGCACAGAACAGATATATATATTATGTAACATATATATACTGTATTATGTAACATGTATCATATATATCTCATATATTGTATACATTATATACAAATTATGTAATGTTTTATATATTTTGTGTAAATTATATATAGTATATATTATATATGTATTATGTAATACATACATATGTCTGTACTTTGCATTCTTTTCTGAGCCAGTTATAACATCTGCTAGGTTCTTTTGTTGATAATTTTATATCAACAAAATATATAATTATATATATAACATATATAATTATACATATAATTATAAAGTTATATATTATATAATTATACCTAATACATAAAATTTCATATGATGTATTTAAAAATGAATTAAAAGATATATCAACATATGAATTCTATGAATTATACTACACATATATAATTTCAGAGACATTGAAATGAATGTGCAAATGGAGGCAAAACTGATTTTTCCACATAATTTTGCATTGCTATCATCGCTATTTAAAATTTACAGAGTTGTATTTAAATTCAGTTAACCAAGTTATAGTACATCATTAGTTTTTGATATAATATTCAATGATTCATTAGTTGAGTATAAAACCCAATGCTCATCATATTTAAATAAATAAATAAAAATTAAAAAGAACAAAATTTACAGAGTTGTAAACCTTTCTCTACACAATTGCTCTTCCATCCCCATTAGAATTTTTTATATTTTCAATGATTTATTCCAAACACAAGTAACTAAGATTCAGTGGCTTAATTAAATAGGAAATTCTTCTTCTTCTTCTTCTTCTTTTTTTTTTTTTGCAAGAATAGAAGCTGAGTTAGGTGTTGCTGGTATTGGTTCTGTTGCTCAGGGATGTTGTAAAGGATCTAGGTTTTCCCTACTTTTCCAATCCACTAACAACACGTTGACTTCATCAAACAATTTTCATGATTGCAGGATGGCTGCCATAGCTCCAGACATCATGACCACGTTGAAGGCAAGAAGAGGGTTGGGGCAGAAGTGGCAAACGCTTTCTCCCTTTCACAGGAAACAAAAGCTTTCCCAGAAATCCCTCAGTGGATTTCCCTTTCACTTAGTTGGTCAGAACTGTATCACATGATGACACATAGTTACAAAGGAATTTGACAAAACAAGTATTTGGCTTCTTTGCTTCTCGAGTGGAAGCTATCAGTGGTGAAGAGGTTGAGAACAGTTTTCAAGTTTGCCATTAGTGCCTGCCACACTAGAGACCATCACTGTTAACATTTTAATGTTTATCCTTCTGGTGTTTGTTGCCATATTTCTCTCTCTGTATTTATAGGACCCCTAGAATCACATTTGTACTAATCCTGCTGATTCTAATTCTGATTTCTCTCTCACAGGGTTAAAGCTCTTTCTTACTTTCAAATATGCTATGAAGCAACATTTGAGGAAAGCAGGTACCTGCAGGAGCCTACTCTGAAATCTCTTCACAGCTTGATGCACAGATGCAGGATCCTGCTAGCCCCAGAACTCTCTGGAAAACAAGAATTTCTGTTCAAGATGATAAGTTCATCTTCCATGTTCTGCTCTATGAGTTTCTAGACTTTTGTGGAAGTAACAGATCCCAGGGCAATAGCATGAACAAGGTTACCTGGCTACCATTTTGGTTTCTCCTAAGTTCATTGGTGCATGGCAGCAAGTGTGCCTCTCCAGCACTATCTTGCACCTGACACAGAGCAGCCCTCAATAAATGATTTGTCATATGACTGACTGACTTACCCTTTGACAAAGCCTCCTCCTGCTTTTAAAGAAATGGTCAGTAAAACAGTAATGGTGACCCCAGGGGATGAATAAAACCCACAGACCTATAGGTTACTTTTGCACAAACACTTAAAACAGTTATGTTGGTGAGTAGGAGTGCTGGATGGAGCAGAATCCCAGCATTTCATGGAGGGTTGCAGTGCTTCATGACACCTTTTAGAAAGTGTTTTGGTTTCCTGGGACCTTTCAGCAAACCAACATCTCTCTTCCTTTCAGGAACTTCCTTAGGACTTGGCTAGGATTCACACTGCTCACAAAAGTATCACCATCCCACCTGGCCCTCCATCCTGCATAAAATCTTGATTGCCAGGGAGAGTAGAGGGAGATGAAACTTTTTAAAATGTAGATATCCTGGGGTGCCTGGGTGGCTCAGTCGTTAAGTGTCTGCCTTCAGCTTGGGTCATGATCCCAGGGTCCTGGGATTGAGCCCTGCGTTGGGCTCCCTGCTCCGCGGGAAGCCTGCTTCTTCCTCTCCCACTCCCCCTGCTTGTGTTCCCTCTCTCACTGTGTCTCTCTCTGTCAAATAAATAAATAAAATCTTTAAAAAAAATGTAGATGTCCTCTGTGCTCGCTTTGGCCGCACATATGCTAAAATTGGAACAATAAAATGTATATATCCTCCCTTCCAAGGTACTCTGATACCTCCCTACTCAAAGTGTGGTCTGTGGACCAGAAGCATCAGCATCACCTTGTTAGGAAAGCAGGATCTTAGGCCCCACCCCATATTGGCTGAACCAGAACTTGGATTTTAATGAGAGCCCCAGGGGATTTGTGTTGTACACATGAATGAATGTTCTAGACTATTCTGGAATATTATTCTGCTTGCCATGCTGATATTGCAACAATTTGGAATATACAAAAAGAAGGATTGGGGTCTTCATTTCCTCTTAGCTATCAGGATCTATAAATTTGTAACACTTAAACTTCTTCTGGCTAGAAGACTTACACAAAAGCTTGTCTTCACAACAGTGTTACACGTTGGTCAAAAATAATGTTGTCCTTCAGGGGGCAGAATATCAGAGCTGTTAATCACACCTGCCTACACGTAAAGGGAAAACCAGAATGTGACAATGCCATATATATATTTATATATATATATTATATAAACATACATATTTATATATGATATACATAATTTATTTTAATATATAATATATATTATATATAAATATATATATATTTAAAGGGACATATGCTTTTATTTTTTATTTTTTATTTTTTTAGAGAGAGAGAAAGTGGGGGGAGGGGCAGAGGGAGAAGGGGGAGGGGCAGAGGGAGAGGGAGAGAGAGAATCTTAAGCAGGCTTCACACCACAGAACCTGACTCAGGGCTCAGTCTCATGACCCTGAGATCATGACATCAGCTGAAACCAAGAGTCGGATGCTTTAACTGACTGAGCCACCCACATGCCCCAGGAACTCTATATTTCTAAGGTAAGTAAAAGCTGTGCCCTCCACAACAAGAATTTTTCTTACCATAAACATCAACCTACCTTTGGTAGAGTCCTTTACCGCCATCGCCTCCAGTGCCTCCACTAGAGAGAGAAAGGGACTCAGAATAAAAACTGCATCATTCTCCAATCCCATAAATATAAAGATCCATTCATTCAAGAAATATTTGTTGGCTACCTACAATGTGCTTCCCCCAGAACATTAAAATAATTGAAACAATATTGAAAATTGAAGTTAAGGATATTAGAACTGAAAACATTTCAAATTTAAATGTCTTATTTTTTCCCCAAACCAGAATTTATTAAAATTTTACTTTTTGGTTTTAATGGAAGTAAACTCAATCAAAAATATTTTCAAAATCAAGTTCTAGAAAAAAATTAGCTATTAAAAAGTACATTAAGAAAGTGTATGTAAGGGTGCACATTTTTCTTTTCTGCCACAGGCAAAAGATGGTGACCTGGCATAGCAAGGGATATTTTGGATGTTCGGTTTATCATGGGTTTTCTTGCATTGATTTTTGATGTTTTAAAATGTTGCATTGACACAGTGTTTATCTTGATTACTCAAGGGATTGTCTCCTTTTATATTGTGCCTGAGGTGGGTGCTTCCTTCTCCTCACCCTTGTGCTGGCCCTGATCATGACCATTTGGGGGCAGATTTACAGCTAGTTTTTAGGAAATGGGACAACATTCTTGTCATCCCTTGTCTAAAAACACTTAGTTATAATGCTGTTAGTCACACCTGCCTACACGTAAAGGGAAAACCAGAATGTGACAATGCCAGATGTCTCATGCCCACCTGAGAATGATCTAGAACAGGTATACCTATGCTATTCTGAAATATGTATTTTTTTTGTGTCACATTGTGAATATCTTTTCAACTCATCAAACCTTTTGAAACTTTTTTTGTTTTGTTTTGTTTTGATGGTTGCATGGTGGTCTGTGGTATACACGTGTCATAATGTATTTAATCTGAGTTGCGTCATCTCCAACTTTTCAGTATAAACAATGCTGTAAGGAACATCTTTGAGCTAAATTTCAAACACTCTGCTATTTATTTATTTATTTATTTATTTATTTATTTATTTTTAAAGATTTTATTTATTTGAGAGAGAGAATGAGAGAGAGAGAGCACATGAGAGGGGGAAGGATCAGAGGGAGAAGTAGACTCCCTGCTGAGCAGGGAGCCGGATGCGGGACTTGATCCCGGGACTCCAGGATCATGACCTGAGCTGAAGGCAGTCGCTTAACCGACTGAGCCACCCAGGCGCCCATCAAACACTCTACTATTTAAATGCTTTTGAAACCAGTTATAGGTTGTGAGTGGGAAGAAGTTTGTATGTCTTCCTTAATGCGTGGTTGAAGAAACACATAACTGTACCAAAGCCCCAAAGTACCAAAGCCCCAAACTACCAAAAAAATAAGCCATTAGAAATAGTAATTTGAAGTTTACTTAAGGTGTACTCAAGAGAAGCTTTCCATCATCAGTTCTGAGTCATCTGGTCACCTCCTTGCCTTAACATTCCATTCCATTGTGCCTAAAGCTATCAACCTTTTATTTGTAATACTCAGCATGTTGGATTATAATCAGATGTTCATGTGTTTTGTCTCATTTGTCTCTGTGTGTCTATGACCAGCAGAAGACTGTGCTCGCAGATGGACTCTCTAGTGTTTGTGGAATGAATGCATCAAGAAAGTGTTGTGCCAGTCTGCTGCACAGTAATAGGACAGTGTTCTGATATTCTGCCCCCTGAAGGACAAGCTCTTCTGGTTTTCCAAATCATGTCCTGCTCTTGCCCAGCAACTGAAACAGGCCCCTTTCCAATTTCCAAGAACTACTCCGTGATAACTCCATTACAAACACTACTATTTCTAAAACGACAATGGGTGACTTAGGGATTTTGGTGCCCATGACTTATTGAGGGAATGCTCTGAGAAAAGAGAAAGTGAGGGAAGCAGGATGTGTTAGGAGAAGGATGTGGGTTCAGCTCCAGATCCCACGGTGAGCTCTGATGCCTGGATTGCACCTCAGCACCAGTCCCCCTTTGAGGCTGGTGACCAGCCTTTCATACCCCTGTGTCAGTCAGTTACTGGCTGTGTGCTGCCCTCGTGGTGGTGGGAACCTTTAGCTCCTGTTCAGCTGAGGCCAATCTGGAGAAGGGACAGCTGGTCCAAAAAGGAACTTAATGATGGACATCAACAATATTGACTACTTTGCCCCATCCCCATGACTGCCAAATATAAAAAAGAAAGTTGTATTAATCATGTAGATACTTGCTCACAGCTCATTGTAATGCGATTTTGAACTGCATTTTAAAATGTTTATTTCAAAGGATGTTCCTTAGACATTCCGATAAAACCTTCGTCTTATTGCTCTTAGGGATTGTTTACCATTATCATTTGGCTTTATTGAGCCTGGAATGTAATGGTGTTTATATTTCCAAATAGACCTTTAATCAAGTGCTTTCATCTTTAAAAAATATGAAAAACTTCAGGAGGAAACATTTCTAATGCTTATCCTGGGAGGGGGGTGCCTTCTTTTTGAAATCCTATAATGTACAATGTGTGAGAGAACTTGCCACTTTTCTCCCTGAATGTTCCGTCACTTTATAACCAGTATTAATCTTTGTTATGTCTCATTTCTGTGACCTTACTTCATGAATAATTCCTAAGTTTGATAAAATTATCCACTGTGTGTGACTTGAAACCCTCAAGCTGCATCTGCTTTTGCTACAAATGTGGGCTGGCTCAATTTACGTATCTAGCTTTTTGACCACAGGATCTCAGATTATGTTTCTTCCTCTTCTCTACTTCTCAGGAAATACCTCCCCGGGAGTTTGTGGGTGTGGCTGAAATGGCCTCTGGTCTCTGCTCTGGATGTATTTCTCCCATCTTGCCAAGTCTTATCAATTATAATTTCTTACTCCTTGTCCGTGCTGAAATTTTCTCAAGAGCATTACATATAATTCTGAAACCTCCTCAGCTTATCCTGTGATTTTATTTTTATATAAAATAAAAAGAAAATTTAGAAAGCTTCAGTTATAAAATTTGGGGAATTAATATTTATATTTTTTGCATGAATTACAACACGTCCTGCTCTCCCCACACATTGTGATCACTACATGATCACCATAAAGGTAAAACCAAAGGCCAAAGTTGTCTGGATTTTAT